CAAAGGAGAATTTGGACCGAGATTGGAGCAACGTGATTTTTACGGACGAAGCTTCTGGTTGGGGATATATTACCATCCGACGTTCCTGGTCAACCTTGACCAATAGATTAATAAAACGGACCGTTAAACATCCTGTAAAAGTTCATCTTTGGTGCTGCTTTACAAAACAGGGTTTTGGAGCATTACATCTGTTTACATACAATTTAAATGCTCCGAAAATGCTTAAAATTTATGAAAAGTATTTGTTGCCGACTGCTGAACGATGTTTCATAAAAAAAAACGAGGACTGGATCTTACAGGAAGACAACGACCCAAAACACCGGAGCAAGCTTTACACCGAGTGGAAAGAGTGATCTGGCATCGTCACACTTGATTGGCCATCGCAATCGCCAGATGCAAATCCCATTGAAAATGTGTGGTCATATCTCAAGCACAAGCTTCGAGGAAAAAGAGTATGCAGTTTGAAGCAGTTGACACGACAAATTTCTCTCATTTGGAGGTCTTTACCGAACGAATACGCAGTCAACTTAGTGGAAAGTATGCCTCGGAGATGTCAGGCAATTATCAATGCCGGTGGTGACTGGACTCATTATTAATGGTATAGCATTTTTCTTTTCATGGAGTACAACAAATCTATGTACTTAAAAATCATTAAAAATAAATTTTTCTACATTAACCTGTACACGCTCTTACTTTACAGACTGTATGTATACAGAATCTCAGAGCGTGACGTCCCTTTACAGACAAACTTCGGTGGATATGTATTAAGATATTTTAAATGTTTAGTCTAGACGACGTTGTTTCGCGTTATTCACTCTCAGTTCAGTCCTCGAATGCAACCTCACGCGATACAGCATTCACGTTTCGACACAGAATGTGTTCTACCCGAAAATTTCTCCAATAAATATTAGGTGTTAAACTTAATTCCTATAGCTCGCTACTAGAGGATGCTGGCTCCAACGCTGGCGAGTTTCGACGATGAAGTCACATGTCTTTTGTAGTTTAGACATCGCTGAAAGTGATTCAATTCTCACAGGTTAGATTTCTCGACGCCAAAGAGATTTTCCAATCGATTGAAAATGAATCGCGATAAGCTGTTTTTCCGACATGTGTTTCTTCATTACTTCGACCTCAAGAAAACCGCAGCTGTAGTGCATCACTTATTATCCGAAGTGTATGGTGATGAAACTCGGAAAGAACAGGTAGAGTTTGGTTTGAACGCTTCCGAAACGGTGATTTTGATGTAAGAGACAAAGAACGTCCAGGATAGCCGAAAAAATTTGAAGATGTCGAGCTGCAAGAATTACTTGATGAGAATCTAGCTCAAACGCTTTTAGAGTTGTCGAAACAGTTAAATGTTACTCC